AAATATTTTGTCAATTATTGAAATTCTTCAATTATGTCAACTATATCAATTCTTTAAGATTAGCGATATTAAGGGTCAAGCGTTGAACAAACATTCTATTACAATACTTCCTTATTGTAATATATATTATATATGTATATATATTATATTACATATTATAACTTTTTACAATAAATATTAATATCGCTCGTTTTTTTGTAAGACAAAGAATGTAGTAGTATCGATGTCAATTTGTTAAAATTATCTTTCAATTTGACTGAATTTGTATTTTACAAAATTCCGAAATTTGTAGTTCGCGCTACATTCGCGCGAGTACTTTTCGGTTCAAAATACTACTCTCTAAGGCCGGAATTCTTATAATCAATTCTTATTTCAAGACTGTTTTAAGTAAATGTCTTAAGACGCTAATGCGGCCTTCTAATTGGTTCGTGACCTCAAGACAGAACTTAAGATGGTTTTGAATATAAGAATTGACTATGAATGCCAACCTAAAACCTTTAGAATAAATTGTCTCTCTAGAGTGTAAAATCTCACTCTTAAAGATAAGGAAAATTGAGCCACTTTTTTTCAAGATTTACAAAAGCTTAACTTAATTTCCACTCTTTAGAATGAGATTTTACTCCAAAGAATTTAGAGAGTACAAAATTCAATAGACACATTCTCTCCCTCTCTTTCACGCAATATTATTTAATGTTTGACAGCGGTCCAAACATGCTTGCAAGTAGATCATTAGCTTCCATCTCCGCTTTAGCGGTCATCGTTACTTGTCACGTAAAGCGCTGTTAGATTGTTCGTTCCGGACGAACCTATCCACACATCGTGCATCGGGAATCAGAGAGAATATTGAGAGTACCGGGCACACACAGGCGCGAATGTTCACGAGTCCTGTCTTTTACTTTATTTGTCACTTGCATATTTTCGCGCGTTCACGCCTGCTTGGGATGTACAACGGGCGCGGTCGGCTCCGAGCGGAAACACGACAGTAGGAAACCGGTGTACATGAGGAAGAGAATGGTGATGGCAATCAACATGTACATATAGATGTTCAGTTCCGGCTGTCGATATCTATTCTTGCGCAACCACTCGAGAACGTCCTGTCCTTTGTGTAAATCACCTGTAGAGCAATTGGAATATGACTTCGAGAACATCGAAGAAAAGCGATCCCTATAATAACAAGCTATTTTTGATGATAGAGTAGATCGAGACGAATCGGATCACGAAGTAAATTAGATATTATATTTCTTACCTCTGTAGATACTTGGGAATCGTTTGCGGAAATAAACAATCGCGGGAAGCTTGGTAACTCCCCATTTCCTAGCGTATCTAGGATCTGCCATCTTGACGAATGTAATATCTAGATTATCGGTTTCATCATCAATTTCTTCTAATTTTTCATTTGCCTCTTCACTTTCAGGACTGTCATGTTCATCTGAAAATAATAGACGTATAATGAAATAATTTTCAAATATAATATTGTCACACAATTTGTGTTTTATATTTGCTCACAAAAGAAGACTGCGAGAAACTCATTCTCGTCCAATAATTTGTCTAGCATCTTCCTGTTAACTTCCTCGATCTCATTCTTAATCTCAAACACATCTTGAGAAGTGAGCCATTGTAGGATTTTGTCTTCTTGTGTAAGATCGCCATCGTATATGAGTGGTGTTTTCTTTCGGAAGTACACGAGGGATGGAACGTTGAGAATGCCATATTTTTCAGCAGCTTCCGAACTAGAGATCTTAACAAAGTCGATTCCGAAAAGATCGGCTTCGCCGTCGATTTTCTCTAGTGCTTCCATAATATCGTCACATTCCGGACAATCTTCGTCATCTAGAAAATATATACATATATATAGAAAGCGTTTATATATGTATATAAACTGCAAATTTTCTTGAATTAATTTTGGATCTCCATTTATTCTCTATTAAAAAGAAACAACTTTTTGAAAACTGAACTTTTTAAAAACAAACAAATAAATTTTAATATATTATAAATTTTTTATTTAAAAAAAAAATATAATTTAATGATCCATATGTAAAAATATGTCTGATTGAAAATTGTAAATTTATAATATACAATATAATCTTCCTTGACAATTTTTAAAATTAATTTAAATAAAAAAATTCTTAGTTAAAAAGAAGTGCTTATAGAAAAAAAAGTAAAAAGTTTAATGTCAAAGGTTGATTATTCATAACATACAAAAGAAAACGGCTAGGAAAGGAGATTCATCGAGGAGCCTCTCTAGCATTCTATCGTTGACGGACTCTATTTCATCGGCTAATTCTCGATTGTCATCGTCGATCAGCCACTCGAGGACGGATTCTTCGTTTTGGAGATCTCCTGCACATAATGTTTTAAAATTCTCGATTCTTATTTGTTACGAGGACAAGAATTAGGATATAATCAAGAATAAACGTATTAGAATAGATATAAGTATTAGGTGTTGGAATTAATTCGTAGCGTTTTTTAATGAAAGAATGTTATTTATTTCACATGAGCATTAAAAAATACATTAATGAAAGTACTTCCCATCACTTGTAAAACGCTACGAATTAATTCCAACACCTAATAGTATAAATAGAACCTTCAAAGAGAAGAGGATTGCCATTTCGAAAATAAACGAGAGCCGGGAACGTCTTGATCGAATATCGCTTCGCCAACTGTGTATCCTGAATTTTCACCATATGAATTCCAAATACGTCGCATTCGTCATCGATTTTTTCCAAACCCTCCAGAATCTCGTCACATATGTGACAATTCGGCTTGGCTACGCGAATGTTACATTTATATACTTAAAAAATAATTATCGTATATCTTGATCCTCGATAGTAATTAACTTACTGAAATAAACTGCTAAATATTGGGTCTCCTCGACAGACGTTTCTAGCATCACTCGTGTGATCAGTTCGATTCGATCTTCTGTTCTTTGAGTAATCAGCCATTGTAACACCTCTTCTTCCACAGAGAGATCACCTATAGACAAATAATTGTGAATAAATCGCTATTCAGAAAGCTAATCCTCAAAACTTGCAAACCTGCGAACACATTCGGTACTTGATGCTCGAAATAGACTAATACTGGTAAATCAGTCACCCCATAATCTTCAGCAACTTTGAAATCCTACAAAAACGAAGGATATTCTTATATAGATAAGTAAAAAAAATTGTAAAGTATCAATGTTATTTCTATTTTTTAAAATATAGTATTATATTACAGTATTATAATTTTCGTATTTGTCTTCTTATTTATGTAAATGTTGTATATATTGATGTTGAGATATTCGATACTAAAAAATCATTATTGAAAATTATACAAACATAAATTAGACAAAAGATATTATAATAATTTCGATCAAATTAAATTTTTTTGTTAAACAAAAACAAAGCATTATATGAAAGTTTTTATTTTATACATTAAAAATTTTTTTTATAAAAAATTGCTTTCCTGCTTTCATTATTAATGAGCAACTCATTTATTTAATATAAAAAGGATAATAAAATATATATGTAAAATAGATATAACAAAGAAAACCACAAAAAGTTTATTTTAATATTTTTACTTACTTGTGTTTTCACAAATGTAATGCCATGTCTGTCGCAATCGTCGTCAATGTTCTCCAATTCCTCAAGTATTCCTACACATTGTGCACAGTCATCGGGATCTGAAGAGAAATTTTATTATTATCGAATCTTTATTGCGAAAACTTGCTGTTTCCAGTAATAGTCTACTTGAAGAATATAAAGGCGATACTACATAATGGAATATATTACACATCAATCGTTGATGTAAATGGTCTACTCGATACGAGGGAGGAATCTGCTAAATACAAGGCAAATACACGTGATAAAATGTGAATAATACTGCGACAAAGTTTGGTCTACGTATGATATTAAACTTTCAGCGATATTACATCTGTCTCATCGATGGAATAAGCGAGAATTTTGCATGCTCATCGGGATCTGTATGTCACTACTGCTTGGCTGCTTGTGTTCTGTTCTCATGTCGCATGCTTTGTCTCGTGCACGTGCACCTGTGTAACTGTGTAATTGTACATACAGAATATATCAGAGAGAAAGAAAAAGAGAAAGAAAAAGCAAGAGAGAGAAATACATTGTTTCTTTGGAGAAAGCATCCTAACAAACATTTGGCCCGGAAAATGGCGGTGTTCTATCTACAATCATTTCTATTAGCTATAAAAGAACAATTAAGGGAACACTGATGATTAAAAGAGAATCGAAATACACTTCGATATTTTTATCCAATGTATAAGAGACTTATTTATTTTCAATACTTCGCTATTATATTTAAAATACAAACAGTTGTCCCGTCGATCATCAGTGTCCTTTTATTTTTCCTACGTAAAAGCGTATACACTAGATAGTACGCATTATTTCTCAAAGCTTTTCCGGATTCCAACAAAGTTTGGATATATTGCGTACCGAGAAATCGCACGCAATTGTACGGAGAAAAAAAGTTTACCGGTTTAGGATATTTTATGAGAATATTGTTATATATGATTAATAAAGTAATTTATTAAGAGTGCTGTATATTAAGTATCCCATGACCGGTTTTTTCCTCCGTGCGTATTTTGTGCACGTGCTAGGAGTACATCTCGGTTATCTGTGATCGAGATAGAATCGAGATAATTGAAACATAAACTATAAATTATAGAAAGGTAGAAAAGACATAGAGGTAGAGAGAGAGAGAGAGAGAGAGAGAGAGAGAGAGAGAGAGAGAGAGAGAGAGAGAAGAGGGACAGAGAGAAAGACGTAGACAGCAAGGAAGCTTAGGCTTAGCATCGATAAATTTTCATCTTGCTTTGATCTGTTGTACCATCGAGGTGTTCAGCCATCGTCTCTGCATGTTCCGCGATCCTGTGTTCCTTGTGGCGCATCTGCTTGCGGTACGTTTTTGATTGGCACACGTCGCAAAGCGTTCTGTTCCCTACGGCATCAGTACACAAAGTGTACAGCATCGGAGCGAAAGTCGACAGCAAGTAGTAATAGAAAGAATTAAGAAGGAAACAAATATTGACATTTGTTAGGGACAGTTAGTAATTTTTTCGTTACAATTGTAATTATGTAACATAAGATTAATTATACAATGAGTTTAATTTAATCACGTAAAGAGAGTTCTCTCTTGTGAGATAAGAAGAGGGAAGATTCACAAGTTCAGAAAGGAGTATCGTGAAATAAATATTCCTTCAATATTCCGTAAAGTCACTCTTTTACGGAAATCTTCTTGATGAAACGCAGTTTTTTGTCCAATCTCACTGTTTATAAATAAAGGAAACAAATGTAGATAAAAAACAAGTTGACGCTGTCACTATCCATGTGATCGTCTATCACATAACAATGCAATGAAAATAAAATTGATATAGAAAGAAAACAGAATGCAGAATGCTATTAACAGTGATTTTTTTGATAATTTATCTCATAAAGTTATATGAAGCATTCAGGAACTTACAGAAGTATACGGCTAAAGATTCCGATTCTCGTATCAAATTTAAAAGATCTTCGCCTTCCAGAGCCTCGATTACTTCACCCGATGGATCCTTTTGTGTCATCAACCATTGTAAAATTTGCTGCTCATCATATAAATCACCTGCCGAATCAGTCTTCTTAACTTTTATCTATCTCAATAGCAAAAAAATGTAAGGTGATGGTTCCAATTATGTTGAGTCCTAATTATGGATAAATTTACTGATATTTAAGAAAAAAATGTAGTATTTTTTAATAAAATTCCTTGAAATTATAATATTCTTATATAATAGATTGTATACTTGTAGTACATTATTACTTACGTAAGTTAAAACAACGTACATTTAAATATTATTGAGTTAAACAATTTTAACATAAAGAATTATAAATGAGATTTATATATTTTTTAATATTTTTCCCAAATTTATAATCGGTTAAACATGGAATAATTTTTCTTCAAAAATATAGTATTTACAGCTTACCATTAACATTAACAATCTTTTTAAATGTTAAAGTTACACAAATTATTAAAAATTATTTAAACCCTGAGATAAATGAGATTCATAATTGGGGCCGTCACCTTAATTTGTCTTGTACCTGCGTATATAACTGGTTCCTTCGATCCCATCTTGAAGAACAATATAGCAGGTAACGCGAAAACACCATATTGTTTAGATAATTGTTTATCATCGATTTTGACGAATTTAATACCGGCGCTATCGGCTTCGTCATCGATATGTTCGATTTCCGCCAATACTCGGCCGCACTGTTTGCAGTCGTTGCTGTCTAAACAAACGTGCGACGTATTAGAAATGTTAAACGCATATATAATTGTTTTTATTGAGCTATATTATATTAATTATATATTGACTCACAAAAAAATACGGCTAGATAATCGGTTGTTTGTCGCACTTTCTGAAACATCTTCTTGTTGATACGTTCTATGTGATCGGTGAGTTCCATATTCTCCGGATTGGTCAACCAGTCAAGGATCTCCTCTTCGTCGTCAATATCACCATCATAATTGATGTTCTTACCCTTGCGAAAGTAAGTGATGCCTGGTGGATTTCGAAAACCATATTTCTTCGCCATTAACCGATCCTTCATCCTGACGATCTTTATTCCGTATTCCGCAGCTTCGTCATCAATCAGTTCAATATGCCTAAGCACCCTCGGACTCTCCGGATCCTCCTCTTTGTCTGAATATTTTTTGTTATGCAATGTACACAATCCTATATGATTATGGTATCTCTAATATTTCAATTATATATAAAACTGTTTTTATAAGATTACCGATTCTATTGGAAGATTAATGAGGAATAGTCCGTTATAGCAATACAGAAGTTTCTTATAGAATTATCGAAAGTAAATTTATATAAAAAAGCGACAAATTATTATATGAGTAGCTGAACTGCAAAAGAAGTTAAATATCTATTCTGACTAAAGTTCACTAGTTTTCTTAATTTTAATAATAATATCGACGAGTATTATTTTTTTATGAAACTTGTTTCGCCCATTTTTCCTGTTTCATTTTCATTTGACTATGACATAACAAAATAAAATTATAATATAATTTTTAAAAATAAAAACTAAATGTAAAATCATTTTTAATAGCATTTTTTATTAATAGGATAATAATGCTTTAAAATCATAAAAATTCTATTTAATTTAATAATCTACTCCAAGATTTAATCGGTTTTGCATCAATACTTTAGTCTCAAAATTAACTAAATCCTTTCTTTAGCTGTAAATAGTCAAGTGCATTTATATTTTGTGTTTTAAATAAAAATTGTATTTTTATGCCATATTATACATTTTCTTAAGTAAAATGATGAATTTCTTTTTGATTAAAATAAAAATAAGTTATTGATTTCTCGAATGAGAAAAATTATACAAATTTTTTGCCAAGAAACATTACAAGTGAAAGTAATTACTTTTGCAAATGGGCTACTCATATGTATATATAAATATAATATATCTAACAACAAATTAAAAATTTTTGTAGTTATGCAAAAAACATATTATCTAATGTTTAAAACACTAAAACAATAAAAAACAAATAAAATGAAGGAAAGGAGATAGACTTAAATTTTCTTATTGTTTGCTATTTTTATGTAAAATACATTGATTTCAAATTGTTCCTTACAGAATATAACAGCAAGAAATTCTTTCGTCTCGATGTATTTGATGAGAGTCTCACGGTCGATTTCTTCAATACTCTCATCAGTTTTTTGTTTCACCATCCATTCGAGTACTTCAGTCTCGTCGAGAAGATTACCTAATATACATGGCCCAGGTATAATTCATTAATTGCCCAATATTTTACTAATCAGAGTTGAATTAATGCTGCAATAAATAGTATCTTCTCCGAAATTCGGAAAAAGATCTCTACAATTTATATGAGCTATTTAAATATTTTCTAACATTATTAAGAAAAATGTAATAAGATCCTTTACAAATTATACAAAATTACAATTCTTGTGAAACAAGGAACAAATTGAACATATGTATGTATATATATATATTATATATATATATATATATATATATAAAACATTAGTCTTATCTGTTCCTGTTTTCAAGTTTATTTTTATTTTTATTTTTATTTTTCAAACTGAGCTAGCGTAATTAATTTTCAATACTTTATATATCAAAATTTATTCATTGTATGCTAATTATGTATTTATTATGTTAAATATTTTTTAAATTATTTTCTTGAGGAAAGCAATATGTGTCAGAGATCTTTAATGTTTATGATAGTTTATGATAGTTTCAGGTTTGTATTTAGTGATGATAATTTTGAACTTAATATGATAATGAAAAATGTAGTTTAATATATAATTCTGCTAAATATATATTTTTTTAATCAAAACATCTATGCATAAAAAACATTATATTGAAGCCCAAAGAAAATTACTTCGTTTTAAAGCTTTTTTAAAGCTTTTTGAGACTTTTTTGAGACTTTTTTTAAGCTTTTTTGACAGATTTCTGTATCAACTTTTCTAGTTTAAATATATTAGAGATCTTTCGGATCTATCTTTTAATTTACCTTTTGATACAATAACAATTCAATTTATTAAAGAATAATATGTCGATATAGCGATTCATTTTGTCGCTGTTCTGGAATGGCTATTCATTTCTATCAATTTTTTTCATAAACTATTGCTTTATCATAAAAATATGTAAAGATTGTTTATAATGACGAAATTATATACCTTTAATAATATGATTTTATCACACATTAAATTAAGAGATCATAAGTATGTTTAATTTGTTGAGGGGGGGATTGTATAACAATAATAACAAATAAAGCTAAAACGTTTAAACTTATTTAGAGATTTGTCAAGGAATAATTAGTTTAATTTTATTTTTATAAGTATGCTTAATAAAAATAAACTTTTTATTTTTACAAATATTTGATATTATTTTGCTGGATATAATTGAGATAAATAATTTATCTTTATACTTTTTTAATTTTCCTACATCAAATAATTTGTATATAATTTACGTAATTTTAATGTGTAGTTTTTATCGATCGAGTTGGATGTGTAAGCGTATGTACTACAATAATAAAGCCTATATTATTATTAGAGCAATGGTGGATAAAGCAAATACAAAGGATATATTAGGAAATATATTTATTGTTATCATATAATCGACTTTTATTATTGTACATGCTGCTCTTATGCGAATAACAAGGACTTATTGACTCGCACGCAACGTTCACGAGCAATAATTCATGACATCTGATAATCGTGATCACAGATACAGTGCGACAAAAAGTTTCGTTCGTTGATGACGCGACGATTTTCTAAGATACCTAAGATGATCGACTTTACGCTCTTAGGTCGCGATACAATATTATACTTCGCCTGTAACTCAACAATTTCCTGATGACGTGTTTGTATCTTGCGCAGATTATCGGACACTGAGCGATAAAACACGGCGAACACATGAGACAAGAAGTATTTTAATTACAAATAAATAAATAAATAAATACCTTTATCGTGGCTCTCTTTTCGCGCGATCTAATCGCGATTCTTTGAAAGGCTATTCTTCATTGTAAATTTATGCAACTAGCATAAAGCTAGATAAGCATTAGAGATATAAGATATATGGATGTAACAAAACACATGTCAATTTTCAACGTATTGTAAAGGAAGAACAGAACTTATTTAGGCCGAAATTAAAAGTAATATTTTAGATAAGAGACGCAATCACAATTATATTTGCAATTCGTAAAATCTTATTTACATGTATGCGTTTTTTTCAGATAATACAGTCTGTCAAGATAATATTTTTAAAAATAATATTTTTAAGATACGTATTTTTGTGTTATTCTAATCCCAAAAATTTATAAGTTCTGTAAAATTTTAATGGTGAGATATCGATGATAATTTCAGTAACTGTTATTATTATCAAATTTTAAATTCAATCTTTTTAAATCAGCGTTGTCGAAATGGTTTGTAATTCATGGCAAATCAGATTTCTTTTCACTTTAAAACAGATAACTGACATAAACACACTGTAGGAACTGTCTGTATTACTAAGAAATCTCGTTATATAAATAAAATCATAGGCAAGACATTCGTTCATAGCTTCGCGCTAACTCTGGGCCTCAGCCCAGTTTTCATTTCATTCTTGAGATCTCTTTAGTCTTATAAGTATAATGTTGAAGAGGAAGGTTAGTTTGAGGATCAGTAGGCTTTATTAGGATAGAAGAGAAAGAATACAGAAATCGTAAAAACGGAGGATCCAGAATGAAAGATTTTAGTTTACAAACGATTAATCTCTCTCATGTTAAATTAAACGCTAGAGCGTATATACCGCAATCTAGGTAGAACACTATCCATAGTCTTGACAAAAGCGATTGTTTACATTTCCTTTTTTTCTACACTATAAAGTCCTACCTATTACTGAGTGCGAATGTTATCGATGAAATGCAACAAATCGGCGGTATCGCTCTTCGTGACGTTAACGGGTTAACGGATAAAACAAAACCAATAAATAATATTCAGCGTTAGACGACGGTCGGATGTTAAGGATCGAGATTCTATATAAAAAATGCATACGTTGCGAGAATAATTCTGTTTATCGCGTGATCATCGGCAGATACCGGACCGACATACTATTGAATATATTGGCTCTTCTCTAATCTCTTCAATATTGTATATGCACAGCCGATGTGAATTATTTCTCTATAACGTCCTTTTATCGATCGTAGGATGCGTTTATATCTAAGCTCCTTACATACATAACAATTAACAGAAATATTAAAATCGCTCGGGGATGTTCATTTATTTTTCTGCGCATGACACACGGATGAATACATCGCGAAGAAAGATGACGTAGTTGATGACTCTAGCGATGACATTATGATGATGATGATGATGATGATGACGTTGACAATGATAACACAATAATGACGAAAGTGAATTCGACGGCAAATATGATGATGGAACAATATTATTGATAATTGATAAATGACGACAACAATGTGTTAAATGGCAACGAGACATTTCGTTCCTTTAAGAAACATGAAATCTTTACTCGCTCAATAGCGAAATTTATCTTTTTCGAGCTGTTAGCACATGATAGCATAGAGCACCTGGGTTCTTCCGTCATTGCGCGGATTTTTCTGTCGAGCGAATTTTTCCTTCGTTCGACCATCGTCCTGCGAGTCCTCTTTCTTCATTTCCTAATCGGCGTTCACAGCCCGACCTCGCGCGTCCAGACGCCGATGTGCGTGTCGGCCATTTAAACCTTCATGAGGTATGGTATTCCAGCCACAACTGCAACAACCCACAACCCGACCCAACTCTCAGTGAGAGGACAGAAAAATCATTCTCACGATCTTTCACGTCTTTACACATTAAATATGCTTCTGTCGTCTCGTCTGTCCTCTTCCATGACGGTGTACGTTCGAGGGGTCCGAATTCAGAATAGATATTTTATATCGACCAATGCATATAATTTATAAGAAATGTATTTACGAACGGGGGTTTTACAAACATTAGGAGCTAGGTTACTTTACGAATTGTTCTTTCAAGTATATATCGAAACGAAGATTGCGATAGTCATTTTGGTAACAATAATGCATGAATATACATATATAAAATTGCTAATTGTTTAGGCGAGCGTAGCTTCTTGTGATTCGTAAATAACCTTAGCTCCATCATCGAATTACTACGATAAGGGATTACACTCTGAGAATGGTTGGCCGAATCATTGATAGTCCGATAAACTAACAAATCGATCGGCACGTCAAATAAATCGATGCCCGTTATTCTGACGACTCGAGGACTCGGAGAATTCAGCCGGTGCTGGTGCCAAAGCCGCGTGGAAGTCACGTGTCGAATCTTCGATCGTCTTGCTCGTCCGGAAGCGCGAGACCCGCGAGGTACCTGCATCCGAGATACGAGGACGAAAAGTCAGGTGACCGTGATCTTATTTCCGCTGCGGCGAACCTTCTCCGTGCCGGGTGGCTCGGCCTCAGAAAAATCTATCTTCGAGCTCACTATTTCCTTTCCCGTCTGTTATGCTAAGCATTTATCGCGTTCATCGCTCGTTATCTTTTCCGAAAAGAAGACAACTTGTTAAATCGCTACCCACAGCAGACGATCTGATCATTCTTGCCTTCCGATTCAATTTATTTGCACATTTGTTATCCGATTTCATTTTCATTCCGAAGAAATCAATGCGACGATTGTCGATGAAAATTGGTCTTTCCTGGCGAACATGCTTACGTTTTAATTTGCCAAAGTGACTGATGGACCGTACGCGTGGGCAGCCATTTAACTTCGTGGCCGGTTAAAATATTTACCGCTTCCAAAAAATCCCCTTTTTGCCTTGGACTTGGATTCCTTTGCGTCGTTGTCGATTCTCGATATCGTCGCTGATTTTTTGCTCTCCTTGGCCGTAAGCTTGTTTATTGGCTTCAAAGCCGGCAGTAGTGGCTTATCCGTTCTGCCGGTACCTTGAAATTTGCTCTTGTCCTTGGTAATCGGGCCGATTTTGGTGACCTTGGCGACCTTGGTGCCGTGGCCGAGCTTGGTGGGACAGCACTGGTAGGGCTCATAGGAGGGAATCTTGGGTTTCGCGCTTTTACCTCCCATCCCGATGTAGAAACAGCCGTCGCCTGCAGTAAGCAAATATACAACGAGTCAGATACAAGGAGAATGAGAGATTTATAAGAATTGGCTAGCCTATGACTGATTGGTCTCGTCGCACGAGTCAATCTGAATTAAATAATAAAAATAGGACCATGGATAAAAATGATCGAAATGAATATAATGGAACAAATAGGCAGAATGACAAAAAAGAAGGAAAAAAAGGGGGAAATTAATGAGACATTGGAAACAAATAAAAAAAAGAGAGAATCAAGGTGAAACGAAAATATATTGACTCGTGCGATCTCGACGTTGCTAGCGCATAGAGAATGTTCCACTGCAATCCCAATTGCTTAGCAAAAGCCAAACGTGCATGTTTTTAATAGACAATGTTTTAATAGAAAATTCTCGCGGCGAGTCGACGACTCTTTCTAGATAACCGTTCAAACCGATCAGCCTCCTCTTCATCACTTCTACGTATGATTGTGTTTTTCATATGTTTATATTGTTTATTTAATATTGAATAAGAAATATATATGTTTGTAACAAAAAATTATTTTCATAAATTACTTCGCGAATTCAATGGTGTCAATCCAAAATTGTTTAGCAATGCTATTTTTCTTTCTTTCTTTTTTTTTTTGAACGGAGACTAGTTCGATTTCTTTCGACTCGTAATTCGCTGCAGACGACAGCTGTCAACAGAAACCATCGGCTCGCTTCAGAGAAGCCCGTATTTCAAAAATATTTGGTAAAAATGCAAACAAAATAGGAGCTACGCACCATAAATTTTTCGACGTATTAATTCATTAAAAAAAAAAAAAATTAAACGTGACTTCGTTAAATAAAATATACTTTATCAAATTAACATATTTTAGACTAAGATGTTGAAAGATCTTACGTCGAAATTACAAATTAAGAATAATTTATGACAATGCTTGGTTGCGTAGCTCCGTCAAAGAAGGATTGTTATAAGGCTGGCATGCATTACGCGAAAAAGATTTAGGGATTTTGAGGAAACTGATGACCGATTGGGAGGTAGTTCAGGCATATGGATGCACTTTGCTAGTGTGAGTACGTAAAATATGATGACAATAGGTTCATGCAGGTATGTCCTACACCTCCCAGTTCTACCGTGAATGGTGAGTGAACAGCCAACTTTCATCTAAATTACGTTGTTATATTGAATACCAATCGATCTATTGGTATACATTTCTCTACTGCTTTAGGATATCATTGTATAGTTTCTGTCTTTCGCGCAACACAAAGCCCGTCACACTTCGATCTCACGTGAGCTCCTCTTCGGCCTCCTGGGTTGTCGTTGGGCCTTTACCTTTGTCCAGGATTTTCTTCAGAACTTTGTTTGATTTTTTATTATTTTTGTCGCTATCTTCGTCGTCGTCATCGTCATCATCATCATCATCATCATCATCATCATCGTCGTCATCGTCATCGTCGTCGTTATCGTCATCGTCTTCGTCGTCGCCGTCGTCGCCGTCGGCGCAGCCGTCATCGTCATCATACCTCCTCACATCATTCTCCATCATCATCATCATCATCATCGTCGTCATCGTCATCGTCGTCGTTATCGTCATCGTCTTCGTCGTCGTCGTCGTCGTCGTCGTCGTCATCGTCATCGTCCATTACCTGCATATTAACGGATCATGGATAATATACAGCGCGATTTAAAACCGAATTGTGTACGTAGGTTTTTTGTGATCGATATGGCCTCGGTCCAAGGGATGACATGCATAAAAAATTTTTTTAATGACAAACGTTATAGACGCATCACATTAAACATTCCCGAAATTCTGTTACATACGCAAAATTGTTATATTTTATTATGTAAAAAAAAAATATTATGTTTTTTTCCCATTTTCTATCTCATTTCTATAACATTTACAATTTTCACGTTTATCATACGGATATGAATACAATAGGCTTAGATAATCAAAGTGGCCACTGTATGAACTTATATGCAGCAATCGTGCTTACGAAAACTTACAAATAGAATTATTCTACTCAAATAATTTAAGAACAACAATATAAACGTATTAATTAATAATGATATTTATACTGATATCGATAGTTGCCAAACATAAAATTTATAATATACGACTTTATCTATATGTTTGTGTACCTTTTTCGCATTACATTTTTTTTCTTCAATTTTTCAAAATAAAAATGTGCTTTATAGTTCAAGTTTCCACAATTTATAATACAAATTGATTCGCGACTTTGATACTTTACATTGATTTAAATCACGAAAGCTTTGTTGTTAAACGCGTCCAAAAAAAAAGAAATAAAAAAAGAAGTAGAATAGCCGTTATTAGTGCGCCGAAAGCTGTAAGATGTAAAGCTTCAAATATTTGGGCAATTCATAAAGTCGTTATTTGTAATTCAACAGTGACACGTCGTAATACTTTCTTTCGCGAGATAGACTTGGGAAGATTTGTACGACGCATCACGTGACACGTTCTGCATTATTGCGTCGATGTAGTTGTATACTAGCACGTAACAATATGAAAGAGCGAGTAAAAAAGGCAAAATATAAGTGAGATTAGCTTGCGAGAGTGATTTAAATGCATTATACCGTGAGAATATAATATGGCCAGCGTGCATGTTGAAAATCGCGTTTCACCGAGCTTCGTGACGTCTCAAACTTTGAATCGAACCCTTTTTTTTAATCCTTTTTTACGCGAATCGAGATACAACGCAATAAACGATTACAGGAAATCCCCTTAGATTCGACGAATGTTTCATTTGCGTTTTTTTCCTTCTTTATCGTTTATCATTATTGCAATCATGGTAATCGTGGTGGTAATGTGATCGGAGTGATCAACACAGCGCGAGTATTGTACTCGTAGCCCGGTGGTATAGTCACGACCGAGATTAACGTCACAAAGAACAGTACACCAGTAATAATAATCATCATCCTAGAAATCTCCTTACTTTTCTGTTCGATTAGCCATTCCAGAACTCTGTCCTCGTTCTTAAGATTACCTACAAAAGGCACACACGCGTATCAGGATCAGCTAGCTTCGATAACGCACCGTGATCATTGTCGGTGTCATGTTTCGCGTTATCGCTTTATCGACGTGGAAATTGCTGAAAGGAACACGCTAAGTCACTCTTCATTATGATCATATAGATTCGAATTTATAATATATTGATATAATTTTCAAGAAAAGTTAGTAGCAGTCAGCGACTTTTAATCTGATCATAAAATGATCTAAAAATGGACTAAATACGCTGCATTATTAATTCTGTTGCATTGAAATCTTTTCGTTAATTAATTTATTTTTAAGTGGTGAAGAGTGACTTAATAAAGGGAGAACGCGTAGCATAAGGGTAATTTAATCTTGTTTCTTTTCCGTGAAAAAAAAAACCAGGATTATATGAAGAAGATAGGGTAAGCTCGATAATAAAAAAACAGAATTAAAGCTTTCAGTACTTACCGTCGTACATGATGGGGACTCCGGTCTCGTAATAAACGAGAGCCGGAAAGGAGAAAACACCGATTTCAGCCGCCAGTTTAGCATCATTTGATTTGACGAATTGAATACCGTGTTTGTCAGTATCATCGTCAATCGTTTCTAATTCCTCGAGAATATCCGCGCAGGTTTCACATTTGTCATCGTCTATTAAAAATTATAATTTTTCTATTATATATGATCTCGAGAACATACACACAATAGCCAATTTTGGCCCGTAGAATGTATTTATAATGACATTAGCGTACATTTAGCATGAAGTTCACATTATGTATATATCTACTATAGAATGTCGAAAATAAGGACGCGCAAAAATAAATCGATAAAAGCGCGTTCTGAATACTAAAATATAAATTTATAATTTTTTGAAATTATTTTTATTAGAAAAAAATGCTATTTTTGGAATTATAAACTCTAATTATGTAATCTTTGAAAAGATAAACATTACATGCGTTTTACTTCACGTATATAAAAAAGAAAAATAATATCTTATATTATTATATATTAGAATACTTTTTACTCTCTAAGTGCGTTTTAATTGTGAATTTTTTGACTAATTTTAAGCCAGTTGTTATTTAAAACAAATATATCGAAAAAGATATAAATAATATATCCATAAATAATCGATAAATAAAAATATATAGGATGTTTTTTATGCATTATAGATATATTCTCATACAAACACCTTTTTTTTTATATATACATAAATTTAGTAGCTAAAAGTTTATACTTACAAAAGAACACGGCGAGATGCTCAACATCGTTGATAAGTACTTGTAATGTTTTTCTATCGACGCTCTCGATAACATCCGGCGTTGTTGTACGAAGTTCGAGGACCCATTCTAAAATTTCTTCCTCGTGCATCATGTCGCCCGAATAGATCTGTCGGAATTTGTGTCTATAAAATGCCAACGCCGGTAATCCCGGAAGGTCATATTCCTTTTCGATTCCCTCGTCGGAAATCTTTACAAAGTCGATCTCCTTCTCTTCGCACTCATCGTCAATGTTTTCAAGCTCCTGAAGGATCTTTTGGCTCTTCTTATCGCCTTCTTTATCTATAAGCAAATATTGTTATTGTTATACACGAAAAGAATGGTTTTGCTGAATATTCTATTTAAAAATTGAGCTACATACAGATTTGAAAATAATTTTGGACCATCAAAATAATTATAGAATTCCAGCATAATGAACAATACTGCAGAAAGTTTTAACATTCTATATAATTATTTTGTCTGTAACAAAATTATTTTCAGATCTATATCTAGCTAAATTTTTATACTTCAGTAAAACCATCCCTTTCATATAATGATACATTTGATACATTTGATCATTTTGCGATTGACATACAGAAAAAGACGACGACATAATCGTTCTCGTCGAGAATGTTCTCCAGCATTCTAGTATTGACTTCTTCGATTTTTCCTGGTATCTCCAAAGTGTCCTCATCGGTAATCCAAGACAATACTTCATCTTCGTCATCGAGATCGCCAGTATAAATCAACGGATCCTTGTTTCGGAAGAACGCGAGAGTTGGAAAATGCCTGATGCCATATTTCTTTGCTGTAGTGGTGTCTTCGGTAGTAACGAATATAATGCCCGTTTCATCCAGCTCGTCGTCAATATTTTCTAAATCTTCAAGGATATTGTCACATTTTTCTCCTTCGTCGCAACTTCCACCTGTCACAATTTTTGGCGGATTATGTCGTAAGCAATCGAAGAGGATATAGTAGAACTCCACATTATTTTCATTCCATTTATATGAACAAAGTTCACACAAATGGAATTTGCTTAGCTCCAAATATATCATAGCTGCTGTTCAGATAATAGGAACTCGACGACTTTGATTTTCTTTTTTCAACTTCTGTTATCAGAATTAATAAGTACTGGAAAAGGAAGAATTAGTGTACCTTTGTTATCTGAACTATTCAGTTATCTGTCTTGCCCTTTGACATGTTCGGATAAAAGGAATTCTAATACAATTAATTCAATGAAGCTATTAATAATTAATTTGACTTTCTGTAGATAATACTGATGAGAAATGTTTGCTTACTGAAATATACCACAACGTATTCATGATCCTCTATGAGATCCGTCAGTATCTCGTCCGTGACCTCTTCGATGGTAGCACTGTTCTTCTGTTCTATCAGCCATTCGAGGACTTCGTCTTCGTTTAGTAGATCGCCCTCGTATATTGCCGGAATTTTGTCTTCGAAATATACCAGAGTTGGGAGATGATCGATACCGTATTCCTTGGCCTCGGCGTCGTTATCTATGCGAACAATGATGATCCCCTCCTTTTCCAGGTCATCGTCTATGTTCTCTAACTCGTTCAGGATCCGCATGTCTTGCTTATCGTCCTTGTCGTCTACGGAAAAGAATTAATTCGCTGGTCGCTCTCACTTGCGACCATATAACAGCACCTACCTAACAAGTAACAGTGGAAGAATGTTAAAAGGAGGTAGAAAGACGAATCGATCGCTTACAAAACAGGACTGCTATGTACGGCGAAGTCTCTACGAGCTTTTCGACCATTTCGTCCGTTACTTCCGGGATCTCGGCGTGTTTTTTCTGATGCAACAGCCAGCCCAGTATCTGATCTTCGTTCATGAGATCGCCTGCGAAACGCAAATGAAAAAAATTTCTTAATCATTTCTCTATTATTAGTTATTCTTCTTTTTTAAATAAATGAAAGTTTTTCAAAAAACTAACCATCGTAAATGTGTGGTATCTTTCGTTCAAAGAGCACCAAAGTGGGAAGCGAATCTATGCCATATTCTTTTGCCTCATCCAAGTCGCTGATCTTCACGAAGGCTATGTTGTGCTGATCACAGTCGTCATCGATGTTCTCTAATTCACTTAACACCTTTTGGCTCTTCTTCTGATCTTTGTCATCTACATAGTAATGATAAAATCATATCAATAATTATGTCAGCATATATCGACAATTGAAAATAACAATAATGCAATTTTCAATTATCAGGTAGAGAAGAAAGAAGCTCTAGAAGTGTGTTACTGACAAAAGAGAACGGCTACGTGCTGCATCTTGTCTATAACCATGTCAAGCATTTCGTCGGTAACGTCCTCGATCTGGTCAGCCTTTTGCTGCTGCTCCAACCATTTGAGCACTTTCTCCTCATCTTCGAGGTTGCCTTCATACACCATCGGAATACCCTTTTCAAAGTAAAGCATTGTAGGTATTTTTTGAATGCCGTATTCCTTAGCCTCTTCCGCATTGTCGATCTTCACAAAAGTTACGCCAAGCTGATCGCATTCATCGTCGATGTTCTCCAATTCATTGAGAACTCTTTGAGATTTCCGATCGTTATTATCGTCTGCGTTATCGTAATAAATACGTTTTAATATTATTTAAATCTAATATTCATCTATTAATTTACAAAAGTTACTTACAAAACAATACAGCTATAGTTTTCCCATCTTTGATGAGACGATCCAGCATCTCATCAGTGACGTCTTCTATCTCGTCTTTTTCGAGTTGCGACAACAGCCATTCCAAAATTTCGTCCTCATCTTCTATATCTCCTGCAATTATTGTGTTATTTTTCTGAATGAATTAATCTACATAAATAATTTACAAACTTTTTCTTTTATTAGTCTAGAATCAATACGATCTTTTTTGTGATTTTATTTTTGATATTATTTATATTACCGTTTCGCTCAGTATGTGCGATTCACCTACCCACCGTCGTAAACATTCGGGATCTGCTTCTCGAAATAGACGATCGCCGGTAAATCGTCGATTCCGAATTCTTCCGCAGCCTTTTCGTCGTCGATCTTCACGAACTGAATACCGTGCTTATCACAATCGTCGTCGATCTTTTCTAGCTCATTTAGGACCTGCATAGAGTCTTCATCACCGTGATCATCTACAAGCACGAGGGCATATTACAAAGCAAGATAAAGCTAAGACAGATGAGACTGACAAAATGATCAAAAAGATACGAACAGAACAGAACGACTAAATTGTCAATGTTTCCAATTAGTGTGTTTAACGTTTTGGCGGTAACATCTTCGATAACATCCTCTTCATCTCCCGTGCTCTTGTTCGCTACCAGCCATTCCAGCACGTCTTCTTCTCTACTCAACTCATCTAAGAGCACGTACTGCGAGTTAATTTCATCTCTGTATTGCTTCATATAATTAAAGGATAAAGTAAAATACTTTAGCGACATAGAAAATTTGTGATAGTCACTCAATCGTTAACCATCGAATTGTGTATAGTTTCACTAAATTGTTGTAAGACATTATGTACTATTACTGTAATAGAAATATTCTGATTCGTTTTCTTAAAGAAATTAACGTAAATATCACAAAATTATCTTAATTCTAATTAGCGTTTAAATAATTAAAATTGTATATTGCATAATTTCAATCATTTAAATGCTGCAACGCATATGTCATATATTATTCTTGTTCTATTGTACTTACGTTCGTAAATAATTGGAATTTGATGCCTATAATATACAAGAACTGGGAGAGGACCGAGATTATACTCATCTGCCAACTCCTCGTCCGCAATCTTTACGAAGCCAATGCCCAATTGATCGGCTTCGTCATCGATGTTTTCCAATTCTTGTAGGGCCTTGAGACACTTTTTGCAGTCTGGTTTGTCTGTCCCATTTGAAATAAAAAAATGCATTATTGCGTGTTTCTGTTATTAAACGATCAACGCCATTCTCTCGAGCGTTTTATTCCGTTCACATATATAGCGTTTTTTCCATAAATATAAAATTAAAAACTTATGCTAGTTTAATTGAATTTTATTTTATTCTTAGATCACTCATATCCAATATCAGTCAATAATTACTAAACAAATAGAAAATACATAAATTATAAAATTTTGCCATGTTATCGAAAAACTTCATAAAATATTCCATTTTTTTAAATAATGGGGATGACCGTCTTTAGATATGTTAGATAGTCTTAAATACAAATGATATCGAAACGATTCGATTAGTCACAATTATTCTCAAAATTTCACTCTAATGCATTGTTTTATTCTAAACAGAAATATATATATATATATATAATGCGTTCTACATATTCTATATCTGATTGATACACAGTTCTAAAGGCGGATGATAATTAAATATTTAATGCTAATATTTTAATTAGCTAAGAATTACAGTTCAAAGCACTATAATAATAAATGATAAAGGCAGAAAACTTAAAAAGCTTGAGATGTTAGTCGATTCTTTATCAATTACACAATTTAAACTATTATCAATTATTCTAGTTTATTAAAATAATTTTTAAAAGATTTCATGAATGTATTCATCGTATATTAAAAATTGTACATAAAAAGTGAAATGAGTGTAAATATTCTTGCCACTCCATTGATATCTGTTTTTCTTCGCATCCCTCTGTCGTTGTATACGCACATTTGAGCGAAGTGCTGCAGGAACGCGATAGATCAACTTTGATAATCGATAAACATGCAGATCGACAAGTCAAGAATAAATGAAAATTGTTATATGAAAATATATATCAATGTCGCCACTCCGGGTGATGCACTTGCGAAGAATCACTTCCTTACAAAAAAAAGAACGAAAAAAATAATCTCAGGAAAAAAAATCCATAATTCTTCGCTTCTGACATCATAATCAAATATAGCTGCAATAAAAGAATAGGCGTTTTAAGAAAAAAATAATTTAGCATTACAATGGTAGTATATAATTGCAATTGAACAGCAAAGTGATCTTTCATTAGTGCGTCAGCCGATATCGAATGCATATAGCTCTGTTCTGTGTGTGTATGTGTGTGTGTGTGTGTGTGTGTGTTTTACTGTGTAAAAAAGCTAGAATACTGTGCCACAGATATTAAGCACATCGATTTCTTATAAGTATGTACTTACTAGAACCGATGCCTGCACACCGCTCCGTATTTGGACCTATTCATATCAACACACACAAAAATTTTCACATATATGTATTATTTACAAGTATATTTTGTATGTAATCGAACCGCAAAGTGGATGGATACTTTCGACAGATCTGATTGTCGAAATTTATATCCTTATTGATATAAAATTTCCATTTTGCGATAAGATATTTTAGCTTGATTGATAATAAAAAACAAAAACAATAAAAATAATTGGGTGAACTTTACAGATAAAATAAAATAGACAAACTGATGTAAATATTTTATACAGAGAACGATTGCTATTAATAATAGATTAAAACAGATTAATAACATTAAAACAGATAATAGACATTAGTCATTTGTTTGTTGATTAAACAACGATAAGAAAATGTATCTCTTTAGACCCTTCTCTGTATACATGAAATTAGAACAACTGCAACTCAAGGAACATGAAACTGTACATAGTGATATATATGTATCTAATTATAATTAAGATTGTAATAATGATAGCAAAAGATCTGAAAGCCACCTCATTAAATTTGCCATTTTATTAATTTATTGTGTTTAATGATGATCAACGTGCATATGGCAGAATACACAAGAATACACAATATTTTAAAATTGTAGCGTATTTACAGGGAAATTAATCGCGATTTTTATATTTTATGTACAGATCCGCAGAACACAAATATTAATATTACATTAATGTTATAATTAACTCAACAATGTAAGTATAAAGTATAATATGTGTTATATTAAATTTATTTTATTGAGTGGAAAATTATAATATTGATGTAATGTTACTGTTAGTTTGTGTTCTGCGGAGAGTGACGAACAATTTCATCGCAAACGTGACATACACAATTGATTAGTAAGACGTCGGACAATAACAGATTAAACGGACGATAGGTACACGGATGACGATCAGGGTACATTACGTAACATCACTGTAGCACCGTTGATTTTTCGATGTTGACTGATACAATTATTAGCCTAGAACTTAGTTTTGAATGGATGCCGAACTATAGAAAATCTTACGAATACACAGACTAAAAAATTCAGAGGTGCCAGTTGAAACCAATTATCCTTTTTTCATGTCTTTACCATTAGTAAAAAAATTATTCAACCGTGCATGTAAATTACAGCTGTTCAATTACATACTCGCGAGCAACTGTCTTGTTTCGTATTTCTCATTCTCTGATTGCATTTTCTTCTGCTATTTCAATTGTTTGCTAGTTTAGTTTTTATTACGTGAGTTAAACAATTTTCTTAAATTACTCTACATACTAATTTGATGCAAAATTATCTTTTTTTACTTTAGATCAAGCATACGTAAGTAATCTTGTGATCCTTAAGCTTATATTTAAAATCATCAATATTTTTAAATATATTAGTTTTACATATTTTATAAAAATATTTTTATGGAAAAAATGTTTCCTTGTTACATTAAATTTTTTCTTTATAGTTATATATTTCACGATTTGATGAAAACATTCGATTATTGATTAGAATCAATTATTTTATTTTATTTGACTATTTTTTAAAAAATATCTCACATATGTATTTCATAGAATCTTTTCTAAGAAACGTTTTACAGCGAAATTTGCATGCACGATAATTTATTGAAAATAAAAGGATGAATGTTGGACATATTTCGAATAATTCGATCTTCCGAATGTTTTTGGCTAAGACTTAATTTAATAAAGAGAAAAACAGAAGACTTACAGAAGAGGACTGCCACAAAATCCGTTTCCTCAACAATCTTTGACAGAATTTTTGCATTAACTTCTTCGATACGATCTGGTAGATCCATAGCTTCTAAACTAGTAAGAAAATCCAGTACATTCTCTTCGTCCATCAAGTCACCTAAGTAAATAATTTTATATATATATATATTTTTCTCTGTGCGATAACACATTTGTATATAAACAATATTAAGTGAAAATCGACTGAGAAATATTCAACACAAATAAGTGAAGAAGGGTCCCAGTAAACATAAAGTAATAACATAACATCAATGTTATAGTTTCACATTCATTAATACAGCTGTTATATGCAATGTGTGTAATATTCATTTATATATTAAGTATAAAATTATAACATTGATATTATATTAATAGTTTGATGTTTTTTTACCATATTCAATCAAGACGGAGTCTTAGTGACTAATAATATTTTATATAAATTTTATAATTATCAGTTTCATTTATTAGTAAATTCTCAATTGTTGCTCTCACTAATTTAACATAATTTTAGCGAAATATTAATAATGATATTTATTATGCGTTTAAGTAGGTGTATTTAAATACTGGCTTACCATCGTATATGATTGGTTCTTTTTCGCGGAAATATGTAAGAGCCGGAAAGTTTTTGATACCATATTGCTTCGCCAGTCGTTTATCGTTGATTTTGACAAAGTCGACTCCAAAGTGGTCTGTATCGTCGTCGATTTTCTCCAGTTCGGCCAGGACTTTGTCGCATGTGGTGCAACTTCGAGCATCTGTAAACAAATTACTACTAGATCTAGGAAAATTATATTAAATAATAAGAAACCGGAGTAGACATCGATTGAAAATGCTTATATTTATTTTACATATAATATAGGTATTTAATAAAAATATAATACAACACATTTAGTAGAACATTTTGTTAAGAGTGCATTAGGGCACACATGTATTAATTAATATTTAATTGTAATTTTTTAAAACTGCCAAGAAACACATCATTCATTAAAAGAATATAAATTGATAAACTAGTTTACAAGATTTTGTGCAAAAGTATATAAAAACTTCTAGGGTAATTTTTGACGTTGAATCCGAATTTTATAGAAATATTTCCATCAAGTCTGATTTTTGAGATACAAGAAAAAACATTTTTTTCCAATACAGTGAAGTTTTATTGAAATTAGAAAAACAATCTCAGCAGTATTGAGCGTTTAATTTTTGTTTTTTGTACGATTTTGAATCGGTTTTATATATTAAGGCGACTCCAGATGACATGACCAACGTATGCCAATTTTCCGCATATTAGCTAAATATTGGCCTACATGCATACGGATAATTATGCATGCATGCGCGCGTGCGTGTGTGTGTGTGTGTGTGTGTGTGTGTGTATGTGTGTGTGTATAATAATTGCTAATATAATGTACATTGGTATACACATCGTTTGGAGCTGCCTAGAATCCATCAATAGTCGCTTCAAACGTTTTCGTTCCAATACTGAAAATATTTCTCAATTATTATCAAATCTTGATGGAAGTCTTACTGGTCACTTATCATAATGATTCAGGAAAAAAATACTGTATCTTAAAACTTGATATGCTATAAAAAATATATATCTGAAAGATGACATGTTATATTTAAAAATTAACATATTATTTAAAAAATTTGATCCGATGAATTTTTCTAGCGGAACATTCGAACTTAGCACTCTATAATATGTTAAAAAAAAAAGTTTTGTTTGTTTTCTTTTCTTACTCTAAAAATTATTCAACACTTATAAACTAATGTAATTAAATGGTTGACAAAGCTGTAGTGCTTAAGTGGACAACGATGTTTTGTACTCTAATTTTAAATAAGCTTCGCTTCCTCAGATGGCTATAAGAAGAGATCGATCCCGCTTTTGCACATTTTTACGCTTATCGTTCCCGTTCCTTGGCAGATTGCGTACATTCTTGGCGGGCTGCGCTTCATTCGAGCGTACAGAGAGCAAACCACTGTCTCTGCGGTAGGTGTTAGGTTACAATTATCGACTATAGGCATCGAGATATTGTCCCATCTCCCCGTTCTCTCAGTTTTCTGTGCTTGGGAAAATCATTGCGTTTCGTCGCGCGAAGACCTTGATTACGTCTTGCGATAATATCAAGCGATAACAAAGCGCGGGCGACGATGTTACGCGCATCGTCGCATATACGCTTCGCGCGCCCCGCCATTTTTGGTGACGACTTCCTTAGAATAGAGCTAGAAGAAACAGGAGAGGTGGTTCCGATTCTCTTCCCCTCTATTTCTGTTGTCTTCTTACTCGCTCTTAGTTTTGCCATCTGTCTTTCTCTTTTTCGCTCTCTTTCTCTCTTTCAGTTTGTTCACTGGTAACTTTTCTTTCCGTTATGCTTCTTTACTCCCGTGATCACATATCCGCATCTTTTATTTTCTTTATCTTTGCGCCATTTTTTTATCTACTTGTTTTTTCATTTTCTTTCTCTCTCTACGTTTTTGTCCATCTCTTTGCTCCGCCATCGTTGAGAGTAACGTAATAGCATGCGGTTAACGGACACCCCCGCGAAACGGTTGGCAGAATGATTTGACTAAGAAGCGTAAAGCGAGAGGGAGATGTAACGCAGCGAAGGAATTTTCGACAAGCTGTGCCAGATAAATTGGACTGTGTCCACTGGTTGCTGTCGTAATAGTCGAAAGTTAAGAGAAATTTATCGATAGTCTACTAGTCAATACAAATTAGAAAAAAACACAAAAGAAAAACATGCCTTTAATTAACACAATACTATCATCTATCGATATCGTCTATTAGTTAATGACTGGTATTTATAGTTGGATCTTATATTTAAGACTGTCTTACAGTCTTAAGATATTATGAACAGCCAGAGAGCCGTATTAGCAAAATAAGAACAGACTACGAATACCACCTAATATGTCAGAAATCATGAATATTATTGTACTGAAACACGTCGAGATTAAGAGTATAATTATGATAAACTTAGAAACAGGATTCTTATTCTTTGAAAAAAAAACTCGTGAAGAAGTCGAGCGAATAAATATATAAATACACCGTCCTATATAAGAAGTCTATTTTCATTTTTTTATCGTACATTTTTTTTTTATTTTCTTTTTCTGAGAAGATTATCGAGAAAAAGGATCAAAATACAAATGACGTTAGGGATCGTTTGCGCATATCGGCATGTCTTATGACGATACTACAATGATCAAGATTCACACGTATTAAAAATACTGAGTTATTCTTCAAAAGAAATGAATATTATGTATGGAATTGTTCGAATGTAACATATAGATAAGAAATTGCTTATACAGCTTTTTTGCAAAGTAACAAGTGGCACTTCTCGCATTTTCTTCTCCATTAAAGAAGACAAGTACATTTTCAGAATTATTTTACTCATCGTCATATCGTCAACTGTCACGAAGGGGCGAGAATAATTGATCAAATTATGTTTGTCTTTAAGGAAGAATGCATATTCGATTGGTTGGCATCGTTGGCATTTTTTGTTTCAATTAACTTTGATTAGGGATTCAAAATATATCTATATTTACTTATTAATGTTCAATCCGCTACTTAAATGCTCGGAATTTCCATTTCTACATCTTTTTCGATTAGAAACAATCACAAATACGGTTTCTTCATTATTGAAGAAAAAATATGGAAATTCCATACATTTAAACAGCGGATTGAATTGAACATTGTAAATATAGATATATTTAGGATTCCTGGCCGATCAACCGAAGCTAATCCGATGCCAACTGACGGACACACCTCAATTGAATATGCATTCTACGCCAAAGATAAACATAATCAAACGAATAGAATCAACATCACAAGAGAATCTGTAGTATATATGATATGCTTGAACGAAATAATAAAATAATAAAATGACTGATTTTATATTAAAAAGTTACATTGATTATGATAAAAATTATTTTATTTTTAAAAAATATTTTCACAGAACATGTCGATAGCAATCAATAACTGGAATTGATTCGTGAAGGTTCTGCTTTAATATCTTTTGTATATTTTGAATATCTCTCCTTTCAGCGGCAATTTCATCTTCTGGCCCGAAAACAAGCAAACGTGTTTGCTCACCCACTGTACTCCCCGAATTTGGCACCCTGCGATTACTTCCTGTTAGTGAAATTAACTGTTCCAATCATTACTTGATTCATTAAAATAATTTTATTCTAAAATTAGAGCATATCAAACAGATGTTTCTATTACTATGAACTATTCAGGTTTTCCAGAGTAATTCTCGTCTATTACGTATCCTAATATTATCCTAATATTACACTTGCAAAATTTTAACAATTATAATTTTTTTTAAATAAAATTAATCTGATTCTTTAATTCGGATTATGTATGTCGCTACTACATGAAGAAGAGAGAGACAACGAGATCGAACGACGGCCAGTGCCTAGTTTACGAGCCACTAAAAATACAAGAACGAACGGCCTCGCCCATACTGTCGTCGTCGTCGACATCGTTTTCTCGTCTTCGTCGCCGTTATCCGCGGATATCTTCGCCAAGGGCGTTTGCGATGTTCTCATTTACAATTATGTAAAGTAACCAAGATACATGAAATTGAGTCGCTCCAGTCGGACTGGTCTTGCTTTAGAATACACATTTGGCTCGAGATTATCGAGATTATAATTTTCCGTCGAGCACGTATAGAGAAAATTTAATTAACGTGAGAAATTCTTCTTAAAAAAGAGTAGCAAAAAACACACGCTTTAAGTCCAGCAAAACTCTGCCGGAATAACGAAGCTTGTCCCGACGTGGACTTAGTAAAGTGGAGTAACAATATAAATAAACCAAGGCGTAAATGTGGAAACAGACTGTCGGTATGAAGCATAAACATAGGAATATATTACACTAATCATTACTACAGAGTTTGGTCTGCGCTTTATATGCTTCAGCCAATACAGAATTAGATATGACTATAGCGATAAAATATTAAAAGGTTTATTACCAAGGATTATTTACATCACGTAATTTGTGTAATAATTTCATTTTGTTGTTATTTAAATAAATTTATTTAAATAAATTAATAGTAATTATCCCCAAAGTTGACAATTCATTCATAAAATGTAATCTATTATTATTGAAATTGTATTTTAATTATAATTTTTTCATTTTTTATACGTTCTTCTCAATCAAATGTCTACATCCATTACTGAATAAATTTTGCCGATATGACCTTCTCTCAGAAATAGAAGATAAAATGTTTGGGAGCACACTTCGCAATCGAATAAGATTAATCGTCGCACGTGCATAGAATGTTTCCGCTCTATTCGTGAATTGCTTCAAATTTATGCAACAGTCATCTATGAGTAGCTCAAATTGTTATTGATGTTTACAACACCTCGAATATATCATAATTGCAAATTTCGTAACTTTAAAAAAAAGGAACTCCAATGTAAATGATCTGTAGAAATTTCACACTTTTAAGATAATTAAAAAATGTATTTTATACTACAGACACATATATTATGATAACGAAAAATTGTAAAAGGCTTTCTTAGACACGTCGAAATAGGTTAATATTTTTGAACGTCTTCATTCATATTTTCCATTCATACAATTTAGTGAATATTGCTTGGAACTTTTTTATTAAGCGAGTACAATTTTCAGATGCCTTACATTTTTGGCAAAC